TGTGTGCAGCTTGCTACAACATGAGAGAGGCAGTCGAGTTCTCGGCGAAGCATAACATTACGCCGCATATGACGACTTTCAAACTGGAAGAGGTGCCAAAGATGGTGGAGTTGATGAATGCGCATAAGGCCAAGGGACGGATGGGCGTTGTGTTTGACTGAAGACGTTGACCGTATGAGTGGAAGGCGCAAAATCTATAGAGTTACAAGCGATGTGAGGTGGGAGTCTTCCCCCGGTATACGCTCTGCTCATCTAAGGCTACCAAAGTAAATCCATGGCGGTCCAGAACCGGTTTTTGAAGGCTCTGACCTCACACCTTCGACTATAAAATCTTCGGTTATGGCAGCTCTCTCCTCTCCTCAATTACACACTTCCTCCTCAAATATACAAAAATTTGAGACACACCTTTGCATGTGTCTGGCCTTTCTCCGCCTTCTTTTTACAAAAGCACGATCCAGCTACTCTATGTCTGCTTCAAAACACAAACTTCACTTTACATGTTCCTCAATTCGGAGCACTGCAATTACATATTCCTACACTGTTATTCGGATCTGAATTCGATACAAAGACCAAAACTTTATACGCAGACCAGACATGTGCTGTTCGCTTGGGTGTGCGAGTTCTACGCCCCGAAAGCAACCGACTGGCTTTCCAAATGGTCTTGAGCAGAGTTCCAAAATAACGTCTTTGAACGAGAAATGTTTGCGCGAATAAGGGATCTTTTGCAAATTCATGAAAGTACTGTTGCCACTTCTCTAATTGAAAGATACAAGCGACGATTGAATGTTTCCAAAAGACACTGTCGAGATTATCATGTCTGGTCTCCTGTCCGAGCTCTGTAGTCGCCGAGGAGGACTATAAAACAGCTGTTGCACTCTATCCTCTACTTGTCATCCACAACAACGATTACCAAAAGTTATATCCAAAGTCTATGTTCTACGGTTACATGTGCTGGTTTCGCACTTCTTCTCAAAAGAAGGGAAGATATCTGCCATGAGTGGAACAGGAGTTCGCATAATCCAACATTCTCTCACTCTTCTTGATTCTGACTCTTTACTCTCAAAACTTATGTCCAACTCTGAAAGCCTTATTCAACTGGGATATAGAGAGATCGTTTCTGCGGCAACGAAAAACATTCGGTCTCTGTTAATGGTTTCGAAAGATTGGTTGTGGGACTACATGAGATCCTCGCTGTGGAAGTACTCAAAAGACAACCACGTCTGCAACATCAACATGAGAAGTGTGCCCCGGGGTCATGATATCACCCATGCTCGGTCTTAGGCAGGAGTCAGTGCACGAGCCTGGCAAGAAGTACTTAAATACTTCTCTCCTTCGACTTCTCTCTTTGCTTTCCATTCCACACCAATTTCCATATTTACCTAAAACCGCAGGCGCACAAAGCCATGCGCTGCTGTCCTCTTCTTCTCCGAAACAACAATGCCCAAGTTCATGGACCGACCCAGAAACGGATCAAAACACATCACAAAGACAACGATGTGTTCTTCCTCGGGTTCTTTCCCCTACATCTCTCGCTTCCAAACACCTTCAACTAGAACTCATGTTGTAAAAGCACTTGAAACTATATTCAGAGTCACTGTATCCAAGTTTCTGAATGTGGGGATTGAAACTTTGCAACGTTCACATCATGGGGCTGTGGCCTTCTTTGGCCGGTCTAGAAACCGAGAACAGTTGAACATAAATGCTCGCCCTCCTCGGCTGTCCTCTCTCCTTCATACTACACACTTTCCGAGATTCACCAAAAGTGAAAATGTACACATCCATGACTTTCTGTCCTCTCTTTTTCCAAACAGCCAATTAGCTCTCTTACATGTCCTAGCTGAGAAGTGGACAACGATATATCGAAACTTCTTACCTGGTCCTTCTCTGGATCATCTTCTACTCAATCAGCAATCTTCAGAATCCGAAACTCCGGGACCGTGGAATCATGTTTGCGTTCTGGTGTACGAAAAATATTTCGTGGACGACTTATGTCTTCGCGACAAGGGCAGCAACAAAAAACTTGTAGCGAGCGCGTACATGGGGATTGGGTCCTACTGATTCTTCAATTCAACACCAAAACTTCTCGAGAGCTGAAATATGAGCAGGCTCGCGAGGAGCGGCCTATATAAACACCACTTCGTCTTTCTCGGGCACTCCATCACACTTCCCCTATCTATTTTCTAAAGAAATCAGCTGATTGCTCCATGTGTTGGCCTCCTTCCTCTTCCCAAAAACAGATCGGCGAGTTATCCATGCGGGTAGCTTCGACTGCATGAGTTATCATGCGACACTCCATGAACCAAGATTCTTTCTTCCAAAACCAGTATTCAGGCTGTTTGATGACCCAGCCTCGTGATTCCCAGGTTAATCAGCTTCCATCTAAAACCCTCCAAAAAAGCTGTCGATATTTGACATGTCTTCTGCAGAAGGAAATGCACTTCCTCCATCACCGAGAACTTTCCCTACTCAAAACTTCAAGTCCCGCATGGCATGTCCCTCCTCGAGGAGTACCATCTACATATAAAACCCCTCTTCTCCGCCGGTCTTCTATCTTCCTTCACCATCTTCCAGTTCTTCATTCTTCAAAATGTATTGGGAGCATCTGTATGGAGTCTGCCTCCTCTTTCTTCTCCAAAATTGCCAAAAATCTTGGAAGGACGAGTCCATGTTGGAACCAGAACACCATAGCCGCCCAGTTCATGTTTGTCGGTCTCAAAACACCGATTATCTAGTTGCACGGTGGTGCCTTTGCGCGAGGGAAATGTCATAAATCGACACCGAGCCTGCGAGGAGTCCGCATTTTTTACTCCAACACTTCCATTGCATAAAACAAAAAGTCGCACCAATCGCGTATGGGTGTGCCTGCTCTGAGAACCGAACCATAAATAGCGGTTCACTGCTTCTCTACTACCTCAGAAAAAACGCATCTGTCGGGACCAAAGATTAGACCCGAGCAACTCATGACTGTGGTTGCCTCGCTGGTGTTTCCAAAAAAGTCAACTATGACTACGCCATGTTGGAGTCAAAAGAAGACCACGACACGTTCATGTTCCCTGCTGAAGAACCTACTTCACACCTTCATGGAGAAGAGAGTTGTGGACAGTCCTTGTTATACCCAAATCTATATGTGATCAGTGTATGTGTGGTGGTTTTGGGCCGTGCTCCGATAGCAATCCAAATATAGAGCGATACCCCAGAATGGGCGCTGTGGAGACGACGTGTCTGGACGTCGAGTTGGGGATGAGGATGATGATGATGATCATTACTCTTATTTTGTCATTGTTCTTGCTCTTCATCGTAAGGCTACAGCCAAGCACATAGCCTGCTACCAGTACACTCCATACTTCATCCTCCATCCTCCACGTGTCTTGATGCATATCGTACACCACCCTATCCCATTCCTCCTCTGCTCCACCAGTCTCGTTGTCCCTTAAACAATAGTCTCCAACTCCCTCGCATACCCCAGCGTATTCTCAATAACCTGATCGCTCGTAACCAAAATATCCCTGTTCAGATACTCATCCTCCTGCTGAGGGAAGTATATCCTGCCATCTTTGACAACCCAACCGCTCTCCTTCGCAAAGTTGACGACGCTGCCTTCCGAGTCGAGGAAGAGGAGGGATTTGGCGTCGGAGATGGGGATGGAGGGGTATGCGCGCTCGGAGCAGGAAGCGATTTCCTTGCGTATGGTTCCGATGAGGATCTAAGACGTGTTAGCAGATAGTCCGGTTTAACTTCTGAAGGATGTAGTGTGTTTGGTGGTAACTACAATAATGACGTACCTCAGTAAACAGCGCAAACTCCTCGCCAGGCACCCTCTCACTCTTCGTCTCAACCCACACCTTATCGTAGCTCCCCTCCATAAGCGCCTGCTCTAGACGAATCGGATACTGGATAAACGGATCAGCCTCTAGCTTCGCGCTCGCCTGAGCGGCCGCCACCTCGAGCGTCTCAAGCAGCGTGTGGAAACCCGCGTAGTCGCCCTCGCTCAGCAGCAGCAACAGGTACAGTCCCGTGACCTTGCTCGATTGGCTGCCATCCTTAGGTAGTGTGGACTCTGGCAGCGAGTAGAAGGGCTGCAGCTGCTGGAAGTAGCGGGTAAAGGACTCGGTGTCTTTGAGGCGGATGGAGATGATGGCGCCGAGTTCGAGCGTCTCACGCGCGAGCTGCAGGTGTTTCCGTGGCGACTTCTCTTGTGGGATCAGGGCGTTGAGGTTGAGGAGGGCGATCTTGGCTTTGCTCAATAATGAGGTGGATTGCTGGTAGTTGTGCGACTTGAGCGTCTGGTGGAGCTGCTGGAGCACGCTGGAGAGTTCCTTTTCGGCCATGGTGTGCGGTGTATCGCTTTTGGTGGTTGTCGTAGATGATGGGGAGGGTGAGCGCGGGGATTGAGCGGGTTGATGGCGTGGTCGGGTTGGGGTGTTTGTTGCGGCGAGTGGAAGCTTCGGTGGTTTACGTCGGGGGACCGTCGGCGTCGGAGGTGCTGGCCTTAGCGTGGGCTGCGTGCTCACCGACCGCCACGGCGCGTCATAACCTTCAAACGTACGATAGCGAATATATGCCATAGTCTTCACTTGTTGTCAAACACGCTGAGCATGTTCCTGGGAATATAATCATAATCTGAACACTTTTCAAGATATAAGCCTGACATCCCACGCGTGCCAGGCACCAACCCATGCAGATGACCTAGCCGGTCACATTGTCCCAGCGTGGGAATATCACTATTGGCGACTGGTATGCTTTGGTATTGGTCTACTTCTGTTTGCGATACTGCAGCTGACATTCCTTCTTGCACGTTTTAGAGTCTGCCTTGCATGACCGATTGGGTAGTCAGCACGCCACGCCTTACCTTGTGCTACCGTAGAGATTACTCGTGTGAAAATCTTCTACTCAGAGTACCGTATCGGGGCATGCAGACATGTCCATGGCCTGACCGGTTCGTAGTTCCAACACATCTCACCACCGTCAGACGGAACATCGTCAAATCATGTCCCTTTTGCTTATCTTCTTCTCCCAAACTTTCCCTTTCCACCTCCACCAGTCGCTGCCTTGCCCTTGATGTTGAGTCTCCGATAATTGGCATTTGCCGTAGCCTTGATCTTTCGGGCCGCCGTCTTCAGGACGCCCTCTTTGACCGGCTTCTCCTTTGCTTGCTCTGGTTTCTTTGCTGGCACTTTCCGTCTCCTCGGGGTATGTGAAGCGTCACTCGCGTAGTCGGAGTCTCCATCCAGATCAGAACCAAACTCGTCTGCTATGTCTGCTGGTACTTGTGTTTCAGGGACGGCTGCTTGCTCCTCGTCTAATTCGTCATGTGTCTGTACGGCTGGTATTGGTTTGGGCTTTACGACGTTCGGACGCACTGAGAAGTTGTTAGTCATGTAGCTCTTTGGATGGAAACAGCACATCTTACTTATCACTCGCCGTGTCTGCCTCTTCAAGCCCTTCTTCTTCCAAGCCTTTCGCGGCTTGCCGTCACGACCAAGTTCTGGCTCTTCGTCGCTGTCTTCATCAGACTCAAGGCCTCGGTCCGGGCCTAGGGGCATTGCCGCCTGGCTATCTTCGATCAAGATCTGCGGCGCTCTAGACTTCTTCGGTACGGCGATGCCTTCTTCCTCCATTTCCAGTTCGCGCATAATATCCGCTTCCTCGTCTAGTTGGTCCTCCTCGTCTTTCCTCATCGCTTGTATCATGGAACTCAAACTGCGTCCCAGGCCGCGGCGCATCCAGGGCGCAGGACGTGATATGGGCTCCTCCACCTCGTCGATAGCGCTCAAGACGTTGTCCCTCTTCAGGAATGCAGGTGTAGCAAGGCCTCGAGTCGTAGACGAAGGTGTACCCTGCTCGTCTAACCTCCTCTTTTTCGGTGTGACAAACTGATTCAGGAGGAATCGCTTTCCGGCTGACAGTGGTGTCCGCTCCCCCCGTGCTCTTGACTCTAGCGACGTCTCGCTTGCTGCATCTTGTAGTCTCCTACTCGGTGTTTGTGGAACATTCAATCCTACATCTCCTAGTACAGTCCGCGGTTTGCTCGGGGTGCCTTGCGCGAACGGGAGCTGGTCGAAGAGACCTAGCACTATGCCATCGCGCTGAGGCGTGGGTCCTATGACGGAAGGTCCTTGTGGGGAGAGCAGCTCGGCTGCGTAATCCACGTTCTCCAGTGTATCTTCATCCTCCCTCTTCCTCTTCATCGGCGTGGAAAGATTGGGCTTGGGCGCGGCTTTTGGTGTGCGTTGGACATCGAGGCTCGCTTTTCGGCTTGGGGCGCGCTTCGAGGGGGTCTGCGGCGCGGCTTTGCTGGATAACCGTACTCGTAGCTTGTTGTACTCCTTGTACATTTGTGCTGCACATGTTTAGCAGGACACCAGTGCTACTGGCGTCGCTCTATACGTACAGATCTCGGCATTGGCCTTGATATCATCGCGTCCCGCCTTCCGACCATTGTTTTCGGCGGCGAACTTCTTTTCCCAGACCTTCAGTTCCTGTCGTAGCACAGTGCAGCGCTGTTCAATCTCATCGTTACTCATGTCGTCTTGTGTGGGGTAGGAATGCGTGAAAGCGGAAACGCGAGCGTAATTGATTTCCGCATCTCAAATCGCGGTACGCGTTACGTGCACGCGACAAAACGCCACTAGCAGGGATGTCTCAGCCTTGCCGGCTCCACCCGCGGGCATCATCACATGCACATCAATCCCGAAAACTCAATTGGCAAGCATGACGCATCAGATATATTCTACAAAATACTATTCACAACTCCCTGCTCGCGCGCTTGAGAGCTCGAACATCATGTCGCTGATGCAGAAAGGGAAAGCCGGACCAAAAAAGGGGAATCTAGTAGTGAACAGCCTTGTCGTAGGTGGCCATGGCAGCCTCCTTGAACGCCTCAGCGAGAGTGGGGTGAGCGTGACATGTGCGGGCAACATCTGGGACATTGTTAGCTTTGTTCAGCAAAGATAGATAGTGTATTCGACTCACCCTCTGAGCTAGCACCGTATTCGAGAGCAAGAGTGCCCTCTGCGATCATCTCACCGGCGTTGGCACCAATGATATGGATACCCAATATCCGGTCAGTCTGGGCATCTGCCAGGAACTTGACCATACCCTCAGAGTCGAGGTTGGTCTTGGCTCTTGAGTTGGCGGAGAAGGGGAAGGTTCCGTTCTTGTACTTGATACCGGCCTCCTTGAGCTCCTGCTCGTTCTGGCCGACCCAAGCGACTTCGGGGTGGGTGTACATGACGGAGGGAATGGCACCGTAGTTGACGTGGCCGTGACCCTTGTGGATGTATTCAATGGCGGCGACAGCCTCCTCCTCAGCCTTGTGGGCAAGCATAGGTCCGAATGTGCAGTCTCCGATAGCGCGGATGTGGGGAATCTTGGTGCGGTACTCCTGGTCGATGATCAGGCGGCCCCTGTCGTCGGTCTCGAGGTTGATGTTGTCCAGACCAAGACCGGAGGTGTATGGGCGGCGACCGATGGCAACGAGGACGACGTCGCAGTCGATCTGTAATGGTTAGCATTCTCTCTAAACACAAATGTATGCGATGAACATACGGTCTCCTCCTTTCCACCCTTGGCGGCTTCAACGCTGACGTTGACGCCAGCGTCGTGAACCTCACCGGCGGTAACCTTGGTGTTAAGCTTGAACTTCAGACCCTGCTTTGTGAGGATCTTCTGTGTCTGCTTGGCGATCTCGTTGTCCATGCCAGGGCCACCGATTTGGCCCAAGAATTCGACAACGGTAACCTCAGAGCCGAGACGCGACCATACGGAAGCCTACGAATCGTTAGAAATGCTATATGGTTCAAAGGATGATTCCTACCATCTCAAGTCCGATGATACCACCGCCAATGACAGTCATCTTCTTTGGCACTTCCTGGAGCGCAATAGCGCCAGTGCTTGTGATGACCTTCTGCTCGTCGATGGTCAAGCCAGGGAAGGGTGTAGCCTCGGAACCAGTGGCGATGAGGATGTTCTTGCCGCGGACGGTGGTCTCGCCACCCTCGGTCAGGTTGACAGCGACGGTGTGCTCGTCCTGGAATGCGCCAGTGCCCTTGATGTATTCGACGTTGTTCTTCTTGAAAAGGAACTCGATTCCCTTGGTGAGACCGGAGACGGATGTGTCCTTCGCCTTCATCATGGCGGGGAGGTTGAGCTTGACATCGCCGACCTCGATACCGCGACCCTTTGTATCGTGGAGAATCTGGTGGTAGAGATGCGAGTTGTTCAGGAGCGATTTTGAGGGAATGCAGCCGACGTTCAAGCAGGTTCCACCGAGGGAGCCACGCTTCTCGATACAGGTGACCTATCGCCGTGTAAGCCTTTGAGCTGCGCAATCGCCACGTCTGTCGTCGCTAACCTTCATGCCCGCCTGTCCTGCCTTGATGGCTGCGACATAGCCTGCGACACCACCACCGATGATGACTAGGTCCTTGTCCTCTATCCAACAATCAGCACATGCTCCCCTCTAAACCTCGTAGTAATGCGACTTACCAGCCTCGGACGCATAGCCTCGTCGTAACCGGTTCTGGAAGTAGATGTTGGATGCGCAAAATGTCTTTTGGGAGACGGGCCGCGTCGCCCTCTGCATGGCGCGGGGTGCCAGTGAGCGGAACATGGTGGAGACTACCGAAGAATCGCTACCAAGAGAAGCCGTGAAGTGTACGGCGGGGATGACAGGCGTCAATGGATGGGGCGTGGGATGGGAGATGTGGTTGAGCTTTTTGCGGAGCTCGGCCGGGAAGGTCTATGCGGCTTCCGTAGGGTCAAGGGTGGCGCCAAGCTGACAAAGTGCCTCACGTCTACTCCGTAACATCTTCGTCTCAATGTCCCGGCAACCGGTATCGCATTACTCTATACGGCAAATAAAGGGTATTCTGGCTATATGTAACGGCAATGACTCATCCCTTCCTATTCTCAGTCCTCCGTCAACGTCGTGGTGGCCAGTACTCTCGTCAACATGTCTATTATTGACTTGCAAGCCCATCGAACAGTCTCTCTCTCATGTTTCTCGACGATCTCTGTCTTGCTGATAACCTTCTTGAGGAAAAACTGCAGCCCAGCAATCATCTCAGGAGCCTGGTCCACCTCTACGAATACTTCGCGTACTGCCCGCTCGTCTCGCTTGTCCTTCGATTTAGATGCCTTGAACGACTCCAGAATCGTCGTGACTAGCAAGACTTCGATGAACGTCTTGGTTTTTGGCTGCAAGTAAGGGAAGTTGAGGTTCTTGAGGCTAGTGATGGGTAGAGCTTTCCGGCCGATCAGTGTCCCGTACAGTTTGCCTTGGTTGACAAGTTTGCGAAGAGATGTGTCAGCACCTGCATCGTCATCGTCATCATCCGAGTCATCTGCGCCATCTTGCTTCTCTCCTAGACTCTTGAAGATATCCCATAGCGCAAATTGGAAACTCTTTCGTGTCTTGTGATCTGAACAGACCTTTCGGGCGAGAACTGTGTAGTATGGGTTATAGGTCTTCTCGGCGCCGGCGCAATGCACAATGACCCGTGGAATTTCCGCCTCCTGCGATCTCTTGAGGTTGAGCTTGTTCAGTCGTATTTGAGCGTCTTTGAAGTCGCTGGCAGACATGATAGAGACGAAGATGGCGCGTCGAATATCAGTGTTCATGCGGTGTTCGCGGGCAAGCTGCACGAGATCGACCTCGCTATCGTCGTCCTCAACATCGATGGTTTTTGAAGTCTTGCCAGATTGCTTTGACTCCTCGGGCTTCTCCTCGTTTCCAGGTTCATTACGCCAACTCGCTCCCACTAGCCACCACTTGCCTCTTTTATCCGTGTCTTTGATGTCCTTGAGACCAACGCGTAGCGGCTCGGTTGCTCGGAGGTTCCTCGAATTCAGAGTACCTAACTGCTTCTTCATGCGTATCGTGTGCTCCCTCGAAAGTGCGGAATTGGCTATGCCTGTCTTCATCTTATTGTTCTTGAGATCATTGATCGTCTCAATCATGAACTTTGTTCGGACGGGTAGGTTGTTCTGGCCAACCTTAGCCACAGACTTTTGCAGCAAGACGACAATGTCTTTGAGTGAAGTTGGATCATCTTGTCGCAATTGTGGGCCCGATGCCCTGACTACTCTCAGTAGGAGTTCGGTATTGATCTCCGTAAGTTCGTCTAGGAAGAATCGGATGTAGTCAAAGACGATGTTGCTGCCAATGACCTGGTACGTGTACAGCTCTGCCACTACAGATATCAGGTTTGCCGTCTGCTTTCCATTGCCGTCTTTGTTCGGTTGGTAGTGTTGGTCGAATTCTGCGACAATGCGTTCCACTATTTGCGCGCCAAAATCAGGTCCGATGACTTTGTACACCGCAGCGATGAAACCAGCGTGTAGGTTTAGGAAGGTGTCGAGGAGAGCTGTTGGATCCGACAACATGCCAACGAGCAGGTCGACAAGTGTATTGTTGACGTAGCCTCGAGGGTTGTTTTGGTAGATGTTCTCAATCTCTTTCAGAATAGACAAAATGTTGGCTTCTGAGAGCCTGTTGAAGAGGCCCTGGATTTGCCTTTTGAGACGCAGCAGAGCTTCTGTATCTGAAGCAGGGGCTGCTCTCAGCGCAGGTGGTATGTACTTGGTCGGTTGGGCGTTCGCGGCTACGGGAGCGATGTATGGGTTCTCTCGTATACGTGGTTTTTCCGGTTCTGCATCCTCCATGTTGTCGTCCTCAACTGAGCCCAGGTCGTCTTCAGAACCATCCTCAGTCTCGCCGTCCTCGTCGAAGCCTGTCTCTTCCAGATCCATGTCGTCCTCGTCAAATGCGGAACCTTCCGACTCGCTGTCCTCTTCCTCACTCGACTCCTGACCCAAGGCTTTCCGCCTCTTGCTTGCGAGCCAATCGTCGTCCTCTTTCCTCTTCCTCTTTGTAGGTTGGGCATCCTCTTCGTCACTGAAATCTCCAAGGTCGCCGAATATGTCGTCCAGACCATCGTCTGCTCCCTTGGACCTCTTTTTGCTCTTCACGCCTAGCCTCTTCTCCAACTTTGCAATCTCAGCGTCATCTTGCGCCAGCTTTTCCTGTGCGGCGCGCGATAGTTTAGGGGGCGGCGGCGACGCTTCCTTGGGCTGTGAGGGTTTCGGTTTGAGGATGCCCTTCAACGGTTTAGGCGACTCCTTCGCAGCTATCGGGGGTGGTGTGGCGTCGGATTCGATGTTGTCCCAGTCTATCTCCTCTTCCTCGTCCTCATCGTCCGAGTCGGGTTCACGACGTGGTCCGCGGCCATTGTGTGGATGCGAGGGTGCTGGCCGTCTGACCTGCTTGTTCTGGCGCTTCTTCTCTACGCGATCGGCCTTGCGCTTGTCTTTGCGATTCGGTGGCCCATTGCGCGGTCCATTTCGTCGGTTGTTGTTCGCTGGGTCTGCTGATGTTAGCACTAAAACGTTACCAGAATTAGCTGAGAATATTACCGAACTGGTTTCTCAATTCCACGGGCAGTTTGGGCCCTCCGAAAGCTGTGCGCATGTTGAGATGGTCGCGACGGTACGGTCGCAAAAAAGTTCGAGAAGTCGGAGTTTG